ATATTTACCTGGTATTGTTGACCGGGCTGCCAATGTGATTGGTATTCTCTACCCCTAGGTGAGCCTCTACGTTGTCATGTCAGGCGCTCATGTCATGCCTGGATCAGAAATATAGATAGGAAAACAGGATTCACAGGTTGGAAGGTTCACTACACTGCCTTAAATGGGCTGTGAAAAGCCAATAAAGCGACTATTGAGAGGCAATGAATTAAACACGTGCATATACCCTTTCAGTAAAAGCAGAGGGAGATCATTAGCCTACTTTCTGAACATGTTGCGAAAAGGCAAAGTGAGACAATGAAAATAGGAAACGAAAAATCATGAGACTGCTATTGAGCTATATGTCAAGTACATGTCTTTGGGACTTCGAAAACTTAATTGATCTTTCATGTGAAGGCAAACATAGAAGCTTTACTAGACATCTTATATGACTTTATACTCGATCCCGAGAAGAAATTGCTAAAATCTATTATAACCCACATCCAAAATATCTAAGGAAATAGAGACATACTCAAAGGGAAGCGCGAGAGCCGCGATAGCACCAAGGCAGACACAACTCTAAAAATAGTGAAGGGCGAAGCACCGTTAAACACCGGGGGCGTGTATGCTGAGCTACTGCTTTCAGTATTATGAGCCGGAGCTTACGCCTACACTTCCAGTAGTAGGAGAAAGAAGTAGATTCGTGTTCGTGTGATGTCCGTGGCCGGCATCGTTATAAGTATAGACGTCTGAGCTACAGCCGGTCAAGTCTTTACCTTCACACTCACTCGTTGACACTCCGGAACCATGTCCATCTCCACGTACGTGAGAAACACGCCTATTCAAATAACAAACGTTGTGCGCACTGGGTTAGGGTTACTGGTGGAGAGGATATTTGAGATTGTGTAGTCGTTACGGTTACTGTTGCCGTTGCCAGATGGGCCGGTAAGGCTATGCCCCTCGGTAGTGGTCGTTGTGTCTTCAACATGGCAGATGGTGGTCGAGACAACAATAGTCTCAGTTGTAATACGAGTTGTCTTGTCAATGGCTAAGCAGTTAGTGACATGCCGAGGGACAGGATGTGGTAGTCGGAGTGCGGCTGTGAAGGCAGTAGAGATTTTCATATCCAGCGTAGGGGTTCCAGCTAGGGAGGAGCTAGGTCTTGGTCGGTTGTTTGGCGGCAATCAAAGACACAGCATAGCTCTCTTCCTCAATAGCGCCGGTGACTGTCCGGATCAATGTGGTTGGCGATTAGATAGCTTTGGCACTCAAATGGATATCACGAAATCCGAGTCAGTTCATACTCTACAAGAAGCTTTGGTCTACATATATGGTTAGGTAGACACGAACAAATATCCGTCCACGCACTGCCATCAAGATCGACAATCTCAGAATCATATCCTTTTTCAAGTTCTTAGAACAACACAAGGGCGAGACTGAAAATGGAGTCGTCTCAACAGGCGCGGTCATAGTGAGCTCAGCTGCCACACAAAATGGCTCTCGGTCATGATTTTTGTATAGAATCTAGCGGCAAACGAATGGGTGTGCCAGTAAAAATCACAAACGATCGGCAAAGAATACGTAATTTTGGATAAGCAAGTAAGCCAAAATGAAGATATCGGGGGTTTTTAACCCAGATCTTTACATAGCTTCCCCAGGGCTACTATTGTTGGAAAATAACATGCGTGCAGGTTTTGGGCGTTACTCCACTGGGGGGATAAGCTGAAAATTTGGAGCGAGCGTTGTCTCGCTCGGGACATCGCAATTGGTTCCTACATAAATTTGGTCAACTTGATTGAGGGGTGAGGTAGGCATCAAATGAGCGCCTTGAATGGGGAGTTTGGAGGTCGTTGCTCTTCCACTTTAGGGTTTGGCATGGCTTGCTGTCTCTTGCTCTTTCTGTCTCGGATTCCTGGGGAAAGGCTTGGTAGACGCCATATTACTCATATCACATCCCTCAAATCACAGATTTACGAAATCCGCGACATTCGCCGGGACAGCCAACATTGGGGAATTGAATGGGGTGAGGGTGGGAGCGAGACTATGCAAATTTTGATCTCCCGCTACACAGACTGACTGTTCCTAGCATAGCATGAGTCTTTCAATAGTCTTGTCTATTCTTGTAGTGCGCTATGGCCCATTGGTAACCGGTACATCCAAGACATGCCGCAAATTCAGTGTATTGCATAAGAACCCCCCAAGAGAAGGCGAGATCTCGGAGGAAAGACCGAGTCCCTATATAAGTATCCCCAAAACGCCGAGAAAACACAGATCAAGCACAGAGCAAATGAAGGCAAATGCATTTGATCACACACAATGCATCCGAATGACAAAATACAGGGAAACGAAAGGTTAAGATAAGAAAATAAAGCTCTGAAGTCATCACATCATATATATCATACCTGCCCTACGCAAAAGGCATGGACAGAGAACAAAAGCAAAAGAGATGTATATAAACACCCACGATCAGACAGTGCCGTATCGGCCGCGTTCTGCGCCCAACAAAGCCTGCCCCTCTTGTGGGACCGAAGGTTCACCCGATTCCCTCAGAGGTGAAGAAGAGGGGATCCAGCCGCGCATCCAGCCGCGAACACGCCTCCAGCGACCGCGACCACGCTTTGGGTCATCCCCATCGCCGCTGATGAAACTCTGGTCATCTTCCTGATCTAGACCATCGCCATACATGAGGAACTGAACGCCCATGAACCCATCCAGTCCCAAAACACCGAAGGCACCCAGGAAAAACGGGGTAGCGCGTCCAATCCATTCCAAGCGGTCATTGCCATGGTTATCAGCCCAGCCGCCACCGCCATATGGGGAAAAGTCCGACCAAGCGTTCGGGTTGGTGAGCAACGAGCTGGAGTAGAACAGGTTCCCACAGAAAGCGGCCATGAAGAGCAGTGGAGATAGACCTTCGGTGCTCTTGCGCTGGTAGTTCTTGTATAGCTGTGGAGGGCGTGAGCCGAGATAAAGAATTGTTGACATCCATGAAAAGACGCGGCCGATGATCTCGACAATGGCCTCCCGCGGTACCTCAGAAATGGGCGGATGGGGCTTATCGGTGGGAGCAGCGTTGGCGAGTACGGCACAAAGGAGCGATGCCATGAGCATCGTCCGGGGAAGTGCGAATGGCGGACTCTGCGCGCTACTACTCATTCTAATAGATCGACGCGAAGAGCTCAATTTCTCGTTTGAGTATGAGGCTGTTTGCACATGGGTCGAATTGAGCACTGACCCAGCCCGGAAACCCACATCCTTGGTATCGGAGTGCTTGTTGTCCATGTTTACGGGAGTCGAGGCCTGATGGTCCGATTCGTGGCCTGGAGGAGGCACACCTTGAATGATGTCTCGAGGAGCCGAGCCATGCGAGTGCGATAGGTTGCTATATGAATCATTTCGACGAGGTTTGTAATGGGTATACCAGAAGAACTGGAATACCAGAGTGATGTCAACAAAGACATAATAACTGGCAATCACCACCTGCCACCCTGCCTGTCGGGTGCATAGCGCTCCAACGAGGTTGCTTGCATCACCAAGACACCAGATTATCAAGAAAAATATCGATAAGCCAGACGTTGATTGCACTTGGAAGTTCTTATAAATCTGAGGTAGTTGTGCGAAGAGCCATGAGACTATGCTGAGGGTCCCGAGAACGGAAGAGATCGCCGCGAGAGGAGTGGGGATGCAGATGTGGAGATGCGAGGAGACGGCGGTCAGGAAGGGCGAGGTCGGTTCACAGTGATCGGGAAGTGTCCCAGAAAGGAGGGATTGTAATAACGGAGGAGCCATCATCTATCGATGGTCTCTGAATTTGGGCTTATTAGAGCCTCAGGTAGTGACTCGTGTAGGGCATCAAAGTATAGGGTAAGGGCGCGATAAGCGAGTTTGATGTAAACAAGGTGAATAAGAGAGGATGTGTACTCCAAGTCTAGTAGAGCCAGTATAATGAGCAAACTAAGAAAGAGAAACCAATAAGTAAGTGAACAAAGGCAAGAAGAGAGAATAGCCCCCCTCAAAGGTCATTCTGAAGTGTCACGAGAGCTGAATCTCCTTATCGAGTTCATCGCGGGCAGATCGGATGACTCATGCGATAAGCATAAATGGGCGTATCAGGGCTTCGACCTTCCCAGGTGGGAAATGCAGGGTACTGTATTTAGGTAACACCCGATTATGTTGTACCATGTAGGCCATGCCTATCATACGTATTAACCAGTTAAATATTTTGTATGCAGGACTTGTTAGTCGAAATAACACGTCTCAAGGCCATGGATATTATAAGCATTTATAGGAATGAATATTAGAAGTAGCTACGGGTATATATTCAACGTAGTAAATAGAACCTAAATAAAACGCAGTAGAGAAGAAAAATCGCCAGTAGATACGACGTAGGAAGGACTACTATTACGTGTCAAGCGAATGCGCACAACATACTTCAATTGTTCTTTATTTAAAACTGCTCCCTCACAATTTCCAATTAAATCTCCATTTTCGACAGACAAGTTCGCGTTGGAGGTGCCATAGAGGTGTATCATGAGCGCGATAAAGTAAAAATCGTAGCACTGATCTGGGGATTCGACGTTCCCTACACCTACTTCCCAGACGAGTCTTCGACACCGGTGCTCCCACCAGGCCAGGTAAATTCTTGATTTTGTTCAACAATTACTGCGGCTAGTAGATTATCTCCCTGCATCCAAGATTCATTCTCTCATTACGTATAATTGTCGAATTCGTAAAAAGTAATCAGGTATCAAGTTCGAATCCATGTCCCACATGCTGGAACCGAGTCTGTGTGGGAAAATATACAACGGGGTCAACAACCAGAGACCTCTCAGGGCAAAAGGAAACGAACGGAAAGAAGCGCAACAAGCTAGATATGGTGTCTCTCAGGTGATACCAAGTCTCTAGCAAAGGAAAACACATAGCCTATATTCCATATTCCATAACATGAAGCTAGGAATGGCAGCACGATAAAAGGAAAAGAAAAAGAAAAACACCAAAGAATACTGTCCGAAAGTCGAGGTTCACTCAGTACTCATCCTCATCGCGGTGCCTCGAATGGCTACGATGAGAACTATGAGAGTGCCGGCTATGCGAGTGCCCGCTAAGCGAGTGCCCGCTGTGAGAGTGCCCGCTATGACTGCTATGACTACTGTGCCCCGAATGGCTGTGATGGCCATGGTGGTGGTGGCGGTGGCGATGACGGTGATGATGATCGCTGTGATCGTGCCCATGATCACTATCATTGTCATGTCTTTTGTGATCCTTCACCTTGTCCTCCAGGAAGTTCCCAAGAAGAGCACCGCCAATCGCCCCCAGCAAGCCATGTTCCTTCTTGTGACCGAGGTAATAGCCCGCCATGCCGCCAGCGAGCGAACCCCCAAGTCCGCGGTCCATACCCCGGTCAGTGTCGGTGTCGGTATCGGAGCGTTGTTCGCCCATACCACTGCGCTGTGAATCTTCTGGCTCTGATACATGCACAGCAGGATAGTGGGAGCCTTCCGAGGGGGTGTACCGTGGTTGGTTGGCTGGATGGTCATTGCTAGGGCTCGCTGTTAGTTTTAGTTCTCACAGCTGGGTATGTTTCGCCCACTCACTAATATCCTGCGTTCCCCGGGATTTTGTCTTGCACATGTTGGTATTCATTTGGAGTCACTGGCCCTACGTAGCCTAGCTACCCTATCAGTATATATATTCTCTCTATCGAGGATCCATATGGCTCGGGAGTGAGATGGTACGAACTTTGCTGTGGAGCGTAGGCTTGGTTTGGGGTTTGACTGGGCTGGTAAGGCTCTAGTCCAGGGTTATATTGACCCGGTTCGGGGTTGTGATATGGCTCTTGGTTTCCATATGGCTGGTGGTCATAGGCCGGGTACTGAGACTGATCCTCTGGGGGATAGTACCCAACCCCGCTCGGCGTGGGTGTTGAGTGTGAGCTGTAAGCGTGGTAGGGGTCTGCCATGGTGATGCGACGAATATTTCAAATGCTGTCGCGTCAAGAATGAGAAACAGGAAAAGGGTTGTTTATGTATGTCAGACAGATGACTTGCCTAGGTGTGGGGGCCCTATACATGGTGCGGCTGACCTGCCCGCACGACCTTCGATCTTCCGTAGGGTCTTTGGAATGCTCCTTCTCTCCAATTAGATCTGATCACTTGCTTACCTGCATACAGCAGAGGAGTGTGCCTTCTAATGTTTCTTGACTTTTCTAGGAAAATATGTTTGGTAACTGATATTGTATTGAGATACGCCAGTTAAGCCTTGAATGACATGTAAAGAACAAAACTGAACACGGATGAGTCGGGGTATTCCGGTGAAAATCGAAGAAAAATATGGAAAGCATGGTGAATAGAGCTGGCCGTTAGACGTTCAGGGTTACATCGCTCTCTGTGGCGATGGGAAAATGCAGGACAAGAATTTGCGCCAAACAGTAGCATCAAGACACAACACAGAAAGGAAAAAAAAGTAAAGGTGGAAAGAAAGAATAAGGGTCGGCCAAAAGTGATGCGCCCAGCACATTCAAAAAGCATTCTGGCCTTCATCGCCATGCAAGGCGGGCCATATATCAACACATAGGTTTGATTTCAAAGAGATTCATACACACCTTGATTATACAGGTGGACTCTAAATGCCACGAGTAGAGGTCGAGCTGCGAGTCCGCTGTGACATCCAGTTCACAAGCATTTCATCAAGCTGATTGTTCATCTCCTTGAGTCTCTTGCTTTCCTCTTTGAATAGGCGACCAGTGATTGGGTGGTCAGGGCCAGCGGGAGGTACATTTGATTTGTCATGGACAATAATAAACAAGTCGCGAATATCGTTTTCTTCGTCCATATATGATCGCAGACTGGAGTCGCTCCACGTCGGGGTGTCCACCGAAAGAGTGTCGAGTGAGGCAGTAGCAGCCGTGCCACCCTTGGGGTAATTAGCGTCCTGCCCGGGTGATGATGGCGGAGATGGTGGCGAGAGAGAGCGAACTTCTCGAGGAGAGGCGTTATTTGTTGAGCCGCGTGCGCTCATGGGGGAATAAGCTTCCACGGGAGAAATATTGACAGGGGACTCTGACTCATCTCTAGCGCCCAGCGTAGGGGCGAATTTCTGGGGTGGAGATGTAACGGATACGGGTCCAGCCATTGTCCGGCCGGGATCATTGGGTCCTCTCCATTGAGCTTCACTGGATGGTCGATCAATAGGCGATTCCATGGGGTCCATGGATTCAAGCGGAGTAGCAAATGGATCCTTGGAAGGACTCGACTGGCTGACAGGCGATTGTAATACAATCCCACAGTCTTCGTAGCTGCTTTCTCTTTCTTCTTGTAGTGGCACCTGTCGGATGCTCTTGTTACCCTGGGTCTGGTTAATGGCCTCATTGCCCCTGGCGAACTCGGCCATCGCAGGATCAAGGACTGGATCAACCTTCATGATTCCTGGGGGTTGCTTATGTAGCTTGTTGTTCGATATTTTCTGGGGCTTAGAGGGCCGCTGTTGTTCGGGGGACAAAGACTTCGATGAGATAGACTCCATCGAGGTCTTGGGTTGGGGTGATGTGCGGAATGCTGACTCTGCAGGAGACTTCTCTGGGTCGTCAATGTCATCTTTGCTCTTCTTGCGCTTGAATAGCCCACTGAGCATTCCAGGTTTCTTGTCTTTTCGCTTCTTCTCCTCTTTCTCTTTGGATTTGTCCTGTGAATTAGAGCCCTTTTCGATGGATTCAAAGCTTCCACGAGTAGGCTTCAGCAACACGTCAGCCAATTGCTCTTTTAGATAACCCCACGGTGGGAAACATACCTCTTTCCACTCAGCCAAGGTATTTGTGTTGTTTTCATCGCGAATATCGCGCAAGAGATTTGGCGTAAGAGAAATCTTCTTAGGCTCCGCAGTGTCGTCTTTGAAGAAGGAATCGGTGTTCCGTACAGTGCCATTCCTGGATCTACTGACAGGGGGTTCTACTTTGTAAGAGTGAGTTCCAGATCCAATCCGAGAGCAGCGGAGATGAGTGTGTTTACCTTCGGCCTCAAAGAACTCTTCACTAGACGGGCGTCGTTCAGAGCCTGAGCGCTGCAGATCTTGTTTTTCTACACCGTTGGCATCGGCATGGTCTGTGGAGTTCTCTTTCTGGGCTTTGGGCCTAAGAGGTTCCACAACAATATCTTCAGCTTGTTCTTGCACATCTTCCTCTTCCCCGTCCAGAGTTTCGTCGTCATTGAAGAAGTCGCCGTGTTCGGAATCATCGTCCGTTGAGTAGTCGACGTCGGAGGCATCTATGTACGTCGGGGCCCCGAAGTTGACAGTCTTCGCATTGCGACGGCGCATGGCCTTTTTCAAAGGATTCTTCGACTTTTCGTTATTGTCGCCCAACATGGTCGCAGATAGATCCACGTTTCTGTGTTTGTTCAATCTGGCAAGCCTTTCGGTTGGTGTTTCGATGTGCTCCGCAGGGAGGTAGCCAATGCTGCCATCCTTCACCACGCGCACAAGCCACCAGTAGCTGTTGCTGTCGTCGAGAAGAACCATGGTATCACCCTTTGCGGCATTCGCTTGCCCATCAACCGTTGCGACAAAGTTGTGAAGTGCATATACAAACTCAAAATCGATATCCTCTGTATAACATCAGCTAATGCCCGATTAATGCCTATAATTCCCAAGAATCCGTACCATCATCGATAGATGGCGAACTGGAGATTTTGTCCATATCATCGTCCATCATATCATCACTTTCGCCGTCTGCCAGGTCGCTATCTTCGTGGCCGTAGTGATTTCCATCCTCATCATCTTCCTCGTCATCTGGTTCTCGATATTCGTGATTTTTGTCCGGTCCGCCCTTTATCTCCGCTTGCGAATCTTGTTCGGCATGACGAATAGAAAGTTCTTGATGGGGAGCAGGCCGGCCGCTCCCAAGAGGATCTGGATGTTCGGGTTGTTTGGTGTGATCTTTGGCGGAAGGGGTATCGTGATCTTGAAGGTCCAAGGTATCTAGAGGCGGCGGTCAACACCTTCAACTTCGAACCAAATGGGCCCGCGCGGAAGCATTTCACCTACCAGCTCGGATCATCTGCGGCCTAGTCATGTTGCAGTGTAAATGAGTGTGGTGCAATGGGATTGAAAGAAGTCGCGAGCGCAAGGAGTGACTAGCGACCCAGGAATACGGGAAGTTAGACAAGCGCGGAACAAAAGCAACGCGCTAGCCTCCAAATTTCATGTAGATAAATAAAACAAGAAAGTTAGACAGTAAACAAAAAAAAAGTCGACCGGGGTCGCGAGCACTTGGTGAATTGGTCTGAATGAGAGACGGTGCCTTGAATGAGAATGGTGGGGGCTGGTCTGCCCTTTGGTCCAGCAGGGTGGTCGACACAAGAAATAAATTACTGCCAGAGCGACAATGAGAAAAAGAGAAGGGAAAAGAAGGAACAAAGAGGTGTCTACTAAGGCGACGTCGAGTCTGAATGGTAACTCCTTTCACATCTCCAAAAGCCAAAAGGAGGTATTCCCAAACAAGCGCCCCTTGCGCGCGGTTAAAACTATGGCTTGACCCCTGAGCCTATGCGGGCACGCAATGATGGCCGACTTGGTCGGAGCTTCTATGGTATATTGACGTTTGTATGTCTACTGTGCTAATATAACAGAGAGTATTATTTTTTTCACAGACAGTTAAGTATAGATATTAACTCCTCAGCACTCTATACAGACTACATCAGACTGTGGAGAACAATCAAAGAAATAATTATATAGGATGTCACTATTTTCCGCTGTATATGCGGCCAAGTAGGAAATTAGGGCCAGGGTTGCCATTAAGTCAGGTGATTTAAATTCTCGTCATCCTCCGGGTTTCCCCGGTTTTTCTCCCCTCTCAAGTATCGCTCTACTTGATGAATACATCACTTTCAATTCCTCTCTTACTACCTTTGTTTGTACCCACCGTGTGTCATCTAGTTTTTTTTTTATTATTCAGGTCTAAAACTTCCTCCTCAATTACGACTTCCTTTAAATCACTATATCAAACGTTCTGTCCCCACTTTTAACGCTATCACCCCACAATCATCATCATCATCATCTTAAAACAGCCATCGAGAAGCATAGCACAATCCCAAGCAGAGGGTTATACAACCCTACTGCGAGCCTATCACGAGCTATTAATACGACAATTTCCACCTCGCGCTCTTCGTTAGAGCATATGGCACATAGTGAGAGGGCCGGGTTGGCAAGTGGATTGGCAGGTTTAAGGATTGAAACACACTTTCATGAGCGAAACAAGCCCAAATGGGCGAATGAAAATGCTGGGAGGAAAGCGACAACAGTGGGCGATGATATTGAGGGCGATCACACCAATCAATCTCATGATTATGCGCGTCGCCACTATACTGATGAAGACCGCAGTTTGTTAAGTGATCTACACTCAGCGACCCCTCCCATATCCGTTCCTCGTCCCAGTGAGCAGCATCACACAGATGATGCCGACAACTTCCCACACAAGCCCGATGATGTGCAGGGATCCCCTCTCGACAGCTATTTGCAAACTCGTCGACCCTCGATCTCTTTCAACCCGAAGGTCTCTGTGGACTCTGGGAACCAAATTCCACTGGAAGAGCCATTGTCGGTGGGAGATGTGAAGAACCATCCTCCGCAAAAATTTGAGTCTCGGAGCTCTGGACTCCGGAATGCTCTTTCGCAAGATGATGAGTTTGTCGAACCGAACCATGTGTCCCCGAGCTGGAGTCCCAAACGATCTCTAGATCGGAGTTTCCCGACCGGGGAATCCCGAGCCCATCCCTTTGCGAGATATGAGAATGGCTCAACCGCGGGCTCAGAGGTCCATCGTCCGACGTCCCTGACATCACAGTCGACAGTATCTCCGGTCACGGACGAGGTACGAACCCCTCCCGATGACTCTAGTCACACATTGCTGTCGCCATTTTGCGCGCCATCACCAACTCAATCTTTTGCATCGCCCGAAGACCGCTGCAGCTCTTGGTCTGGGGGGATCACGACCCCTTTCGGAAGCAAGCGCAGCACTACTCTCGATCGCAGCAGTAGTCTTCGAAACTCCACTCGGCACAGTTCTCGACGATCGACTAACTCGAGTGGCAAGTCGCCTGCCAGTATGTTCCTTTCCATGTGGAACACTGTTGAAGAGCCTGCTCCCCAGCCTGATGACGAAGGCCAGATGGTTGGAGACGACTATGTTCTCGGAAAGCAAATCGGCTTTGGTGGTTTCAGTGCAGTGAAAGAGGCCTATAAGGCTGAAAAGCATGGTGAAACCAAAAGACTTGCCGTGAAGATCGTGAAAAAACAAATTACAGGGAGAAGTGAGCGTGAAAACGACGAAGTGCAAGCCGAGTTCGACCACGAAGTGCGAGTCTGGCGGTACCTCAGCCACCCGCATGTATTGACGCTCGATGCCGTGTACGAAACAGATTATGCCACGTTTTGCTTCACCAAACTTGCTATTGGTGGCACTCTCTTCGATCTTGTCCGCCAAAATCGGACCGGTCTAGATACACAATTAGCAAAGAAATATGCATATCAGCTAGCCTGTGCGCTCCGTTACCTGCACGAAGATGCCCGCGTGGTTCACCGAGACATCAAGCTAGAGAACTGCTTGCTTGATCCTATTCAGTCTGCTGACGGCACTACATCTTCGAGATTGGTATTGTGTGATTTTGGAATGGCCGAATGGATATCCATCGACAACGGTGGTGGTTCCCCCGACCCCTACGAGGATGCCGCCGACCGTCCACCGCCTCAGCAAATAGGCCCTGCAGGATCCAGTACTAGTGTTGCGGGTAGTCTGGAATACGCGTCACCCGAACTGCTTCAATCAGTAGGCGGTGTCGTGCACCCTTCAGTCGACATGTGGGCCTTTGGCGTTATCGTATATAGCGTTATCGTCGGCTCGCGGCCTTTCCAAGACTCTTTTACTCCTCGCATCCAAGCAAATATCCTCAGTGGCACCTGGGATAATAATGCCGTATTCGGCGACACTCTGGACGGCCCCCTTCGCCAAGATCGCCAGTACGCCCTCGACTTGATCCGCGGGTGCCTGGAAATGGACCCCAACAAGCGTTGGGCTATCCACGATGTACTGGCTTCGTCCTGGCTGCGAGAGGTTCATGAGACAGCTGAGCCCTCGCCCGATACCGTGTGGAGACTGTGAGCTTTGCTCATCTTTGTTTCCATTCGGTGATTAACAACCCCGTATCTCTGCCTTACACTCATACCCCCAAGGCAAATGAGATTATTTCAACGCTTTAACGTCAAATTTCTTACGATGTGATAGTCCTCTCTTTTCTAGCGCTAAAGATTCAACAAGCGCTGATGTTCTCGAGGCCCCTTGAATCACTATGATACCCCTCCGTTTTGCTTTTTTTTTTTTTTTGCTTTTTTGCTTTTTTGCTTTCTTTCTACTTCGCTTCGGCCCAAGAATGGCAGCATGTGCCTTTACTTTTTCTTTGCATTTTTCCCTAGTATATTCTCAATATCCCCCTCGCAGCGCATTCGTGATTTTTGACTTTTGGTTTTGGGTTGGGTTCTGGCTTAGGCATAGGCATCACGAGATGGACGATTATGATTTACTGTTATAGCGGGCGAGGCGTTTCATTTTATTATTGCCATTTGGTCGGATGTTGGATGAGCATTCGTCAATCTGGTTATTTGGTCAACCTAGCTTGCTCATTTGCTTTTATGGGTGTACTTTTATATTTGCAGATTTTTGATTCGTCTTTACTGATTTCGCTCTTCTCTGCTCAATTTAGTGGGTTCTCTGGTGGTTGGCCTATCCTGAACATCAAAACACAATGATCAAGCTACGTATTCCGTTCTTCAGGGCTGCAGTTCACAAAAATAGTTGGCCGCTCGTGGGGTTTCGGTCCTTAACAACATAAGATTTAACCAGCTGAAGACCATACTAGTGTCGTTTTATTCAAACAACATTCCCATTAATTCTTCAGTACTATTTTCAGGTATTTCTTCCATTCTTAGCTTTTGGAGTACACCGTAGAAGAAACCTAGTTGATATGTAGATAGACATCACAGACATAGGTTAACACACGTTTTCTGCTCCTAGTAACAAATTATGTCTATTTTCCTACATGGTAGGTAAAGAATTCGGGATTCTAAATTTATTCTCGGTGTTATGATAAGAAAGAAAAAAATTAGCTATAGAAGTACCAGGAGTCGAAGAATACTACGGACAACATCAACATGCAGGAGTTTTCACAGGTCTGACGGTAGCAGAATCCCTAAAACATAAAACCAACAGACGGCTTTTCAATGCATATGCAGAGGTGTATTCAATCGGCGCGTAGTTCCTGAGATGCTTCCAAGCCATTTCGCAGAATGAAAGATTATATAGGACCATAGAAGAGAGAGAAAAAAAAAAAGGGCCAAGAAGCATCTAATTGCAAAGCCTAACATATCCAACAGAACATATTTATACATATACAGCAGACCAGTCTAAGCCAGCCTTAAAAACAATGCCGAACAAACCAACGAACGGAGAAGTATGAGATTCTCCCCAAACCCTCTCAAGTCTACCAGAGCCTATTCTCAGGCAGAACCTTCTCCTTCTTAACACCAGCAGCCGACTTTCTCTCCTCAGAAGAACGGAAGAACAAACTAGGTCCCTCAAGCGGCTTAAGCAGATGTGAAAGATATCCCCGATGCGCAGGATCACGATAATACTCAATATCTTTACGCTTCGTCGGATCCGGGAGTCGGTACTTCTTCACATGCTTATTGACCACAGTACTCCACTGCATCCATCCCACCGGGAGCGGAATGTTAGCGAGTCTGTAGAGCTGCTTAGAGCCACTAGCTTGCGCCCACGCAGCAGACAAGAAGCTGTGTGTCTCGCCGTCCAGGATACGGCGGATCGACGGCCGGGTGTAGTAACGGGTAGTTACTGAGCCGCCAGCGCCTTCGATGGCTGAGATGGCGGAGGCGGAGACGCGCGATGCAACGACGTGGATTGGTTGTTTCAGGGCCTCAGCGCCATCGCCGAGGATCTTGAGGCCGTCAATGGGTCGGCTGATGCACCCGCTCTTGTAGAGCTCTTTCAATGTGATCGGGAGTTTGGGGTTGAGGCGGCCTTGGTCGATCCAGTATTGGATACGGTCGAGGTTGACGGTTGCCATATCGACGGAGAAGCTGGATCCGAGAAGAGGGATTTATTAGAGACGTGCTTTGGGGATTGGGGGTGCTTTTGACAAGGGAGGACGACTTACATGTTGACGCCGCCGCGCTCGCCGTGCACGATGATATCCTTTGTCTGACCACCATTGAAACCTGCTGGGACTTTGCCGTGCTGGCCTTGACCCTTGTGACCGCGACCGGAGGTTTTACCCTTGCCTGAAGCGGGACCACGGCCTCGACGGATGCGCTTGTGGTAGGCAGTCGGGTTGTCGGAGAGGGAGGCTAGGATAGAAGCATTGCGGGTTTGCTGGGATTGTGGGAGGAGGAAGGCGAGTGGGGAGGCCTGTTGGAATGGCCGGGCAGAAAATTGTACCAGCTGCCTGGGTAGCCCCATCAGCCGCGGAGACATAGTGTGTGGTTGTAATTATGGACTCGCCGGTGTTGGATTCGCGGGTTTGGTGGTGAGTTTCGAGATCTCTGTCGGGGCGGGTTATGTTTGATCCGACTCCGAGATGGCCCTAAATACAGTAGGATACTAAGAGTCGTTCAGAATTTTTGAAGGGTATCAACCATTTTGAATATTAAAATTGTGTTTGTTGCGTTCTTTTTTTTTGTATATTTATTGGTGTGGATTCAAATTGTCGGATAACTGGGTCATTTACATCGTGAACTCGGACCCTTGGCTATGTAGCTACATCTATATAGCCAAGGGATAATAATATACAAGAAGCATTTCAGGTTTCAACAGGAAAGGATTACCAGTTGGTAAAATCTAGATTCACATGCTGCAGAGGTAAAGCTAGTCTGCTAAAGTAAAACGCCGTATGTATGCAAAATGCGATAGGAGCAGTACACTGCCGATGAGCTTTAAGGCACATTCGACGGACATGGGCGAAATTGAAATCAAGAATAACGCCGCAAATGCCATCCCCGAGATTTAACCCTGTCTGCAGGGAGGCGGAAACCGATTTCCTTCTAAGATGGAGCGCCGAGAATATGCCAGATACAATCGTGAAAAGGAGGAAGTCTGTGCAGTCGAAGAAAGACAAGTAAAAGGAGATAAAAAGGTGTACAGCGAATGAGATGTTTTTTTTTCTCGTGTGACGGGTCGTGGCGCGGTGAAGTCATAAACTCAGGAGATGAGAGAGGTGAAAACAGAGGTGCGGAATACTTTACCCCGAGTAACCGGTGGGTGGGTAGACAGGGTGCACGTATGAAGCTTGGCTCCACGCGTCAGGCTGGATGTAGGGCAGCAGGCCGGTCTTGCGAGAGGTGTTACCTTTCCCAAGCGGCTGGTAATGCATATGGTCAAACGGAACATTGCGCTGCTGCTGTATGGAGCTTGACGGAGGTGGAATCAGCAAGGTGTTGACAGAACGCACTGGCCGGTAAGGCGAGTTGCGGTTGGCGAGGAAGAAAGAAGGAGAGAGGTGTGTCTGCGGGGTGTGGACGGAGTAGGCTGAACCAGCCGGCGAGACGGTGGCAGAAGATACACCGAATGGGCTCTGGTGGTGCCGACCGATTTCTGGCAGTGATGGGTTGCTGTACATGCTAGAGGGCATGGGGGGAACGGAGAGAGGAGGCATCTGCTGCCAGTTCGCGGGCCGGTTGTAAATAGGAGGCATAATAGCTGGCAGGTGGGAAGTTGCCGTGGGAGGGAGTGTCTGAGGCGCGGAATAAGAAGTTGTAAGGGGAGGCGGATGGTGAGGAAGCGGAAGACGAGAAATGTTCATTGGTGCTACCGGGGCAGAAGTGGGAGTCAGGACAGGTGGCAGGGTAGGCATCGTATTCATGGCAGCCACTGGGACTGTCATTGAAGGAGCAGACGTGGCTGTAGATAGCGCAACTCGCTTGGTTGGGTGAAGCTCATCGTTCTCATCGCGGCTTCGTTTCCGAGAGCCACCTATCGCAACCTCGCCGACCATGTGTTGTGGCTGTTGTGGCGGCAGCGAGTATGGCATTCCATTGGGTGGCATATACCAATTGGGCGCCTGGGATCGGAAGACATCGGTGCCAGGCGACGGCAACTTGGACGGCGACTGGGATTGCACGCAGGGAGGCGAAACACGGAGCATGGGGACGGGCTCGACGGGTAGTATCGAGGCCTGATTGAAGTAGTCTCCGAAGAGTCCTAGCTTGGTGTGCCATCGGGACCATTCATCCTCGGAGGAGAATAGATCATAGCGAATGTTGCTCAAAAACTCGACCTCCATAATGTGAATTTCGTGCACCGCGATGCCTGATACCTCAGCCCACGTCTTATTGGTGTAAGTGTTATCGTCGAGGTCTGTAGATGAGTCAGCAATGTTGTCCAATCAGTTTAAGGGCGGTGAGCCCGATAAGAACACTCACATTTATTGCCGAGCATTAGCGCAACCGTCATTAACCGGAACTCGCTGCCCTTCTTGCCCTTGACCCCAGAGTTGAATTTCTTGAGGCGGTAGATAAATAGTAGGGCCAATAGAATGACATTCTGGCTGACTTGCGTAGTGGAGAGAATCGTGGAAACCCATTTTTGAAATCCGACAGTGGGTACGGCCTCGGCGACCAAGGAAGGAACTTGAGGTTGGCGGTCTTCGATGGCTTGCAGTTTCGAGGTCTTTTCAAACCAGAATAGACAGGTCATCTATAAATGAAAAGGGGTTAGCTCATGCTATACCATCACCCGTAGACCCGGGAATTCTCACCTGAGCTGCAAACTCGGCCAAACTGCCCTTGCTGTTGTTGATGGATGAAGGAATGCGGAGTTGCGATCCAGTCACACTGTTCGACTTCTTCAGAGCGGTTGGTTCAGTGGAGGCTTCTTTAGCAGTGTAACTTTGCGGTTTCATGGCCATGGACGAGGGAACGGAATCGAACTGGGGGCGGGAACGGCCGTAGATGTGAGAGGGCACCCCATTCGGTTTCCCCCCATATGCGATAGGTGGCATAGCATTGTAGGTGACGCCGGTCATATCGTGAGGAGGGGTAGGTAGACCGTTCCGAATGGGAACAGTCCGAGAAGATCCCGAGGGTTGGCTCTGGGGAGCCTTCAACGGGTGATCCTCAGTCAAGTCGATGGTTGGAACTCCCAGTGTCGAAAAGGAGGAATGGAAGTCCACAGTGGAAGACATAGGGAAAGTGTGAGTGATGAATGGAGAGGTCGACACATGGAGTTTTGTTTCTTCTTTTTTTTTTGATCAAAGCAAATAAAGGTATCGGCGGATAGAACCGAGGAGTTTCAGTGACCCATGTTCTCTATTAAAAGGTAAAAATAGAGGCAAGCAAGAGACAATAAGTGATGGGTACCTGCCCAATTGGAATGCAATCAAGGAGGAAAGGGCAATAGATGTTTTTATTCAAAGTGAGGGAAAAGTGAATATAGACCTTTCACAGGGAGTTTGGATGATGTATATAGAGTAGCCACGATAGGCCCATTGAAAGCGATAAACCAGAGAGATCCGACTACTCCACTAGATGAGAAAAAAAAAATACGGGAAAATCAAAATAAAATATAAAAAAAATAAATTGTCAAGGCATCATCTCCATTAACCAAGTCCACAGACCCCATCCGGAGAAAGCGATAGTGGCCATACACAGAGTTTGACCCGGACGCAGGTCCAGGTTGATCCTCCTTTCTGGGCTCGTTTGGGTTCCGGGTTTGGTCAATCTAGATTTGGAAAAAAATAATAATATAATATAACAAGGTAACAAGGTAACAAAATATGAATACCTGATGTCAGAGCCACGGGGTGTGGATGCAACTAAAAAGGGTCACAGAATGTTTACCTGGTCCCGGCCTCACATTTGCAGCCTTAAAATGACCAAGCGTAGTGTGGGACTAGTGAAAGCAAAATCAAAAAGAAAAGTAAAACCCAAATCAAGTTGAAATCAAAAGAGAGAAAGGGTGTTCAATGAGACCCCATATCAGATCCAATAATAAGTCGGGTTTAGCGTCAATAAATTACCAAACCGTGTTATGCGAGGTGAAGGTGCGCAAGCATGTAGGTACGCCTCTGTGTAAAAAAAAAAAGAAAAAGATTAAAAAAAAAAGATTAAAAAGGGAAGGGGGTTGCCGGGAAGCGCCTAAGGAGGTTTGAGCACGGTGGCTGGTACTCCGTTGTCGGGTGTGGGAAAGGCAAAGGAATGAACCAAGAAAAAAAAAAGTACGGGATTAAAGAGAAAAAAAAGGAATGAAAAAAGGAATGAAAAAAGAAAAAGGGAAAAAAAAAGAAAAGAAAAGAAAAGAAACCAATAAGAGAATGGAAGATCATTTACTAAGGAGAGAAGAAAAGAGAGGAAGATCGGGAGTCTCGGTAAGAATGGTGCATTCTTATGTAAGAAGGCAAAATTACTTGGAATCTGACCAATCAGAGAGGAGTCAATTTTTATGGTCCACTCAAAAGTCTCAGGCCAAATTTTGTATTTTTTTTTGTTAATTTATCCCGTGTATGGAAAAGTACGTTCTTTTGCGTACTCCCCGACTGTTAGCCGCTACCAATCACTTGGTTCTTTACGAACTATGGATGGCTTCGGAGATAATATTCTTTTGGAAAGTCTTGTGCCGGATGACTTTCCTGTTTATGATTCAGGGGGATATCATAATTAGATATTTGTTGAATTTGATAGTTCAGCTTCGAGGGTATACTATCATATGATTGGTCCGGCTTTTCTGCACTTGACTTCCTTCCAAGGTATTTCACTGCCTCCAAGCTACATACTGGACTTTAGTGAGCTGGGAGTACGGAGAGTCCCCTCGATCGGTATTCATGTCCCGTCCAAGCGCCCCTTAAGCCGAGCCTGGAGTATACTGTTAACCCCCTAGGCAAGAAAATGGCTGTTTCACTCAAAACATTGTTCGACCCATCTAGGCGGGAAAGCCCTCACGTAAGGTGGCAGTTGCACTTGTGATCCATTGCAGCTAGAAATCCGAAAGTGCAACGGGCCCAGATCGGCTGGTGGAATTGGAATCCATCGGCCACTCGCACCCCCAACGGCTATCCCTTTGAAAAGCCTGAGATGATTGTGCTCAGATATGTGCATACTTCTCGCAACATATCTTATACATAAATTATTACGGGAACATCCCGGTATCATGACCTGGAAGTACATATTCCGTGCTCCGTCTAGTCTACTCCATAACTCCATAGTTTAATAGTAAGTAAGCACGGAACATCTATTTCGTATATACAATCTCCTTATACGCATGCGAAAAGCCAACGTATTGAACCCGAATCTTCAAAAAAAAAAAAAAAAAAAAAAGATCATCGGGTGGACTCTCACACAAAGAGACACTTAGGTCTATCACACCACGTCCGAAACCATACAACTTGGGTAACCTCCAAACTTGACTAGCAATCAAGTGTGTTATCTTGGCGGCAAACCCACGGTCAAGCTGAGAACCAGGTGTCAGGCTACCAAATGGACCTTCATATAAAAAAAAAGAGCCGAAAATCTTTTTACAACATAAAAAAAAAAGGAAGAAATTCCAATTTCTCTCTCCACTTGGATTTCTGAGCCACCGCCACGGAAGATGTTTCGTTTCTAGAACCCCCAGGTAGAGAAGGTGGATTTGAAGGAAAAGTCCACTGTGTCATAGGTGCTCCATCTTGTTGGATGATCCATGCCGTCGATGGTTTAAATTAATTTCATTTTTCCAAAGTCGCTTTGGACTAGAGGTGACAGTTGATTGGTGAATTATTATAGTGAACCCCGTCTTTTACTGTTTTGGGATATATTCACTCGTTACAGTCATACAGAGACAAAGAAAATCTCAGCTTCAAAGGTTCAAGGTGCCCTTTTGTTTCCCCCTTGATCTACATTCGCTTCTATTCTCTTTGGTGGGTCGAAAATAGAAAAAAAAGGAGTCTAAAATGGAGTCTTTATCTTGCCCGGTTGCGGTACTTCATTTTCTTGTACGGAGTACACAATTCCCGAACAGCTCCACAAGTTATACCTATCGCCTTTCGCGGGTGAGATTACTCGGCACAGTACGACCTGCAGAGCTCGCCTGGGCGCCAGAATATTCGCCCTTTTTTGGTATAATTTGAAGGGAAAATATATACATTAAATTGCCTTTTTTTTTTGTTAGTTACTTGGCCCTTGGAAGGATCAAGGGAAAAAAAAAAGTATGTGTGAGAGCCATTCCACCGATGATCGCTCTCGGACAGGTTGTACCCTCAACCATTGGCGCATGCAGTTACAACCGCTATGATCGTGATATTTCCCGCAGAGTCATAACTTCTGCATCTATATCTGTGACTTGGTGCATACGGAACTCCCATGGAAATCATCCGAGCTCATAAAATAAATCACGGCTCCTCCAGTCACGGGGGCACTTGAGAACATCTCCGGAGCACTTTGCGTAGAACCACAATTCAATGTTGCCTCTTGATTGGTGACGACTGAACATCCAAAGTTTCCGGTACACAGCTTAGTTGCGGGCAGTGTAGTCCGTACGAGAAATGGAATCTGGGATCTAACCCTGGTTAATAATGTTGCCCAGGTGGCTGAGCTAACTTAGCAAAGCTGAAGCTGATCCCTTTTGTGTGTACTTTGCTACTCTCGAATAGCTCTATTGTATAACCCAAACCAACCGGCTTACTCCGTTGCTTTCTGTGGCTCTATTTATTACAACCCTGACTCTTCCTTCATCATTACACGGCGGGGCTTGGATTCCGGTCTCTGCGCCCGGCATCAACTTCCTCTTTTTTTTTAAAAAATTGCTTGAAATATTGTTTAATTCCGTTTTTTTCTCCTTTTAGGTAACCTATCTTATGCGTCAATCGCAAGGCAAAACAAAAAAGTCACCTTGCAACACTTAGGATCTCAACGCTGTGTTCAACCACCTTGCTGTTCTTCTTACCCAGCACGGCTCCTTGCATCTTTCCCATCCTTGCGGGTCCCTACAAAGGACTTGAGGGTGTAAATATTTAACAGTATGGAAAAGGACATTGCCTCGATATCACACGCAGTATTCTGGCTTCACTGTCTGGGATTTCTCTGCTCTCGCAACCTTGTAATACACAGGTTACAATTTATGTCATCTGCATTTTGATATACATTCTGTTTTCAATTTCAATATGAGGCTGCAATTAATTTTTTCCGTCATTTGATTCATTTGATCCACCCCTAAAATCAAAGAGATACCACATCCTAAAAGGGACTTCAATTGGTCGAGAGTGATACTTCCTACATTACAACATCGACCCCACACGTGAAAGTTCAAGTTGAAATCAAAGTTGGTCCGGTCTTTTTTCAATTACATCGTATAGATTATCTCTATGACGTCGAAGTCACTCTATATATTTCAAGGTATATGGGACGTTCTATATTCCGTTACCGATGTATGTTGTATACTGAATGTTCTTTTGTGGATGCGAGACTTCCAATCATCCAGATCCATGGATATCTCTAGCGCTGTAATCTCACGATCAGCTCCAATTTACCCAACTGCACGCCACCAACTCCGTACTCCGTGGTGGGTTGCCTCTTTCTTTAGTCTATGAGGAGTCACCAACAGGCTGCAGCAACCTGACCTTGATCTGGCCCCCCTGGAAGTGCACACTTTGTCAAGGGTAAAATGCAAATGGGCTCTGGCACACAGGGCCGTGTGACAGAACAGGGTCATCTCGCGCCATCAGTTGATGTTTTCTAAGGATGATTTCCGATTCCAGACTTCGTGCTTCAGCGCCCGTCCCCCTCCCCCCGGCCGCCGCGCACAGGGGCTAAAAGCCATAGGGGGTCGCGTAGAGGGGGTGGACGAGTCCACACAACCCACATGCTTGAAAGGTTTCAAAGATAGAGCAAGTTGAGGGGCAATGATCGGCCATCATTCGTATGTTGGATGGTTTTTTTTTTAGCTTTTTGTCTTTTTACTCCAGGACTTATCTCGGAATTTGTCTGGATTCTGCAAAGCGCCCCGAGCACATCACATCACAAAGCAAAGCGCTGATTTCGGGCTCTGGCGCTGAGACTAACAGGGTCTTGAATCTTGACTTTCAAAGACTTGTTTGCTTCCGCTCGTGATTTGACTTTGGCGGATTCAAGAATCTACCGGTCTGTTGACTCAACGGAGCCTCGGGGTAATGGATACTCTTTTTGCCCCCGCTCGGTCATGAGTGATCATTCCAAC